TTTTATTATAATAAAAAATAAGTAATAATAAAAGTAAAGGAAGAAAGACATATACATACATATATATATATATATATATATATATATATATATATATGTCGATCACTATAAAGCACGGTGGTTGTGGTCGTACACATATCGCAAAGCTTATGGCAAATAAGATTGTAAAAACACCAGAGATAACCAATAATAAATAAATGGAAAAAAGACTCAAATTGCATAAAAATGCTAAAAAGGAACTGTAGATGATTTAAACGTGGTGAAAGCCTTTTAGTGAGATCAAACAAAATAAGTTTTACTTTTTAGTCGGTAAACAATTACACTTATCAAGAAACAAGTAAAAACAGGTAAGCATGTAGATTGCAAATATAAATATCGACTCACACATTCCGACGTACACATACACAGATTCTTCTTTCTCCATTTAGATATATGAAATCCACGATTAATCGCTTTCTTGATCTAAAACGGATGAAACTTATTACCCTTAGATAAATAAATTATCTGTTGAAGGGATGTCAAAAATAAAAAAAATAGATACCTGATAATTTAAAAGGTAAACATGAAGCAAATCCCATTGAAACCCAGTATATCTACAAAACAGAAACCTTCAATAGTGTAGAAAGAAGGAAAGCAGAGGACAGTAAGAAGAAATATGAACATATATATATATATATAGATATAGATATACATATATTGGTGATATTCATCGTATGTGCATCATTTTGCTTGTTTCCTTATCAATCAATAAAACAGAAACAATACTACACTAAACCCATTACAAAAGAAAAATAAAAGGCTTAAATTTAAAAGAGGTGACACTAAGGGTAGCGTAATACGAGTACATGAAGAAAAAAACATTCACCCCGGCCTCAACATCCAGATAGTGAGTAGAACTTCCCGTGAACAAAGAAAAATAGTTCTGAACCAGACCGCTAGGCACCAGTGAGAAAACAAGATGACGAGAAAAAAAGTCTTCAGGTTCTGTTTAAGTTACTTACTTCATGGAAAAAAGATAAAAAAATTGAAAAAAAAAAGAAAATGCACTACTTGTTTGTTTAGGAGAAGCGAGGAATTCAAATGTTGAAATTACACTGAGTAAAGTTTTATTGAGGCCCTGTGAAGAAAACATATCCTCTTCCTAAGCTTGTTACGAGAACGATACATGGTCAGTTTAAATTTGAAGATAAGGAATAAAGAAAAAGGAATGGACACACCTACATCTACGTAAACAATAAAATATACTCAAAATACATTAGAAAGTTAGAAGAATTGACAGATTTCCTCTATCTTACACCCTTTCTCCGCCTCATACCCTCCTCCCCAACATTCCTATACTTGGTATGTACCACACTAATGATCTATACCCTTTCATTGGCTATAAACTCATGAGTAAGCAGTTCCGCACTTGTTGGCCGTTTTTTATGATCTAATGTAAGACATGCTTCGACAAAGGAAAAAAAAGGCTCATTAGTCATACCAAACTCCATTAATTTCTTCCTTAACACGCGATACGGGCCCTCAATCTCTGTGCAAACAGATGAAGAACCCACTCCTTCTCCCTCAAACTCTAACGCGCACTCCGTTGTGCTCTGTAAATCGGTTCGACTATTATTATTTCGATCCCCCCTGAAGCTTCTACTTGCCTCTTGGGAATCCTTGGATGAGATTTTAGACACCTCAACCCCCTTGGAGGCCGCTTTTGTGAATTTAGAGGAGGTCATGAGGACAGGGGTGTACACATAATAGGGTGCTTCCTCACGGCTATCGATTCCCTCCACGTCGAGGCCATCTGTGTTGTCAGGGTGATGGGCCTGACTACTCCCGACCTCGTAAATACAGCCAAATTTGTTGATAAAATCACGCGTATGCCGGCCCTCCCAAAGCATCTGCCGGGGAAAGGGCCGCCCACAGACGTAAACAATGCGGGCAAGCATCTCGGGCGCCGTCTCGGACGCGAAAAGAACCTCACCGGTGACTAATTCGAAGAGAATCGCGCCGAGGGACCAGACGTCGATGCGGCCGTCGTAATCGCAGCCGAAGATCACCTCAGGCGCACGGTAACTTCGGCTTTGGATGTAGGAGCTGAGGTGATCGCTAAGAAAACAGCTACTGCCAAAGTCGATCACCTTCACAATGCAGCGGCGGTGTGAGAGGAAGAGGATATTCTCCGGTTTGAGGTCCGCGTGGATGATGTTCAAGCTATGAACATAGGCGAGGGCCTCGACGATTTGTCGGGCAATCCGGCGAATACGTGGAAGGGTGAAATACAACTCCGTCTCCTCCTCGCGGTTGTACTTGCTGTATTCGTAGAGGTTGTCGGAAAGGAGCTCGGTGACGAGCATGGTGTGCTCCTTGTAGTAGAAGGCATCAATAAGACGAAGAATGTGCACCTCATCTGGGTCTCTTTGCGTGTTAAGAAGCGTTAGCAGTCGAATCTCGTCAAGCGATTGGTCAAAAAAGTCCTTTGAGTTATTAATAATTTTCAGACAAACCTCTACGAAGCCGATCACTTTGCGTTTGCGTTCTTTTTTGGATCCAGAGTGTCTCTTCGTTGTTGAGTTGTGATTTTTAATCAAATCCATCGTGCCCTCATCTTCGCATGCATTTGGATCGGCATAGATAGCTCCAACGACGTCGTCCTCCACGTATTCTTCCTCACAGGCATCCTCCACGTCATCTCCGTAAATCGGGCGATGAAGATCATAGCAACACACAGCCCGACTAAAGGTAGCCTTTCCAAGCAGCTGCACAATCTTATAGCGGTCAGCAATAATATCCCCTTTCACAATAGGGAAAGTTTTCTCGTCCTCGAAGCCGGTCTTGGCAGGGTCCATGATAACACGCAGGTTGAAAGTTCCAATCGTTACAGGGGTAAGGCCTTGCTTGGCTAGCCGACGAAAATCCCGACGTCTCTTCTCGCGAGCACTCAGGACATCGAATATAACGCTATTCTCAACCTCTGTGACAAATTCAAAGGGTGATGTTGTTTTGAAAGGCTTCATCTCTGCATAAGAAGGAACCTCAGTGTAATTATGCGCATCAAAATCTTTCTTAGATATGTATTTCGGAAAATTTTCGCTCATCCTCCTGTTGTTACCACTGTTACGATGATAATGATTGCAGCCATATGATATGACCTTTTTAAACAAATGGCTCAACTCGATAGCCTGCTCATCTGTGATACCACCTCCATAGGGAAAGGCTGGAACTCTAAATACTCGCTGATGCTTTTGATTCGAATGTTGTTTCGACTTTCCGATGCTACCTAAGGCATGGTCATCATAATCATGAGAAAACCTTATGTCTTCATTACATACATCAGGGCAGCTTTGATTGCTATTGCTACTTCTATCAGAGTGGATGTCACCTTCAGTTTCATGATGGGAAGGGTAACCATTCTTATTAGAACTATTTTTTTTATACGGATATGTCGTTCCATCCTCCGCGCGTAGGAGAGACTCTGGCTTCCACACCGAAGCCACAATATCCCGATAAGTATCTGGATCCGTAGATTTGAAAAAGGTCTGAGTCTTGACCCCATTGTATACATTTGCATCCCCCTCATCTATATCACTGATATCGTCCACGATAGGTGAGTTTGTTGGATCCATATGCAACTGGGGCATGATATGACTATCCTGATCAGTAGCTAGGAATGTACTGATATTGCTAACTTTATTTATGTGATCCACAGCTATACGATGCCCTTCACCTTCTGTATGCTTCGTTGAATGTTTTTGGCTTAGTGAAGCAGGTATATCCGTGATATGCTCAGCTTCAAGTTCCTGTATATTCTTGTCAGTGGATTCCACCAATTCTATGTGAGATTGTACGTGGTTATTTTCTTCTGTAGATTCAATCACGTTTAGATTACTAGCTGCTGGAGCAGTGGTCGATAATTTCTGTAATATCGGCATCGAGGAAAATAAACCAGATGTCTTTACATCTGGATTAGTGTTGGGATGTCGCTCTTTTATTGACTTATCTGCAAATTTGGTGATATTTTCCGATGCCTTTATGTCATTTCCAGAAATAGTTTTGGACCGATTTTCAATGGCACTCATCAAAGCCTCATAAGACCGACGGTTCTCAAGCGTGCTTGCACGATTTCGAGCAGCGTTCGTAGCATCCAACATGGACTTAGCCAGGGATTTTAGTTCATTGATTATGGAATCTGTCGTCAACAAAACATCATTACTCTTGGAGTTAGTCGCAGAAACAGAGCCGACTTTCTGGATGATCTCCATGGGCAAATTAATCTGCTGGGATGATGGCAGAAAAGATGATGTTCCTAATTGGACCCTCGTGTTTGGAATTTTTCCATGCCTAGGAAGATCATTTTCGGTCATCTTCGAAGCCAGTCGTGAAGCTGACGGTGTAGGGATAACAATAGCAGGGTGTTTTATATCTACTTCAGTACTCATATGTTTTCCTTTTATTCTATATTTTTTATTATATTTATTAGAATATGTTATTCTCTAAATAAGGGTGTTTTTGCTGGTTTTCTAGCCTTTATTCGGATAAATTAAATAAATAATAAAAAATATATAGGTAGAAGAAAAATATTTATCCATGATTATTCTTCAGATAATCAAAGAATGAAAATCAAGCATGCTATATAAAATGATTAGACGGAACGTTCTTGTGAATACTAATTCAGAATATTTAATAATGAAAAAGGATGTTACTTTAAATAATCTCTCAGGTGATAAAGTTCGCTGCCCAATTAAAGAAAACTTAACGAAATTAAAGAGTCAAATGTCAATTTTAGTTCGGTAATTTTTCATTTTCCTGGGATTAATAATGATAGCATAGATATTACATAATTCTTAATTATCGGAAAAATAACTGTTGATAAGACTATCTTGCATGTATATACATATATATCTTGTATTATATGAATATCTTTTCAGCTTTCAACGAATAAAGTTAAATGGGATAATTTGTAAAAAAATATAACTAAGAAGAAAAGAGTTAGAATAACAATAGAAAATAAAAATAAAGAGTATACAATTAAAATATAATTTACAGTGTAACTATTAAAAAGACTTTTCTTCATAATATTTAGTTATCATAATGTAAAATATAATTTTATAAAAAAAACTATCCAGTATTATTTGTTGAATCACAGCTAATGGTTTCTGTATAAACATTTTGTATGAAAAATATTACTTTTTAGAATTAAACTAAAAAAAAATGTATTAAATAAAATTATGTGAATCTTCCGTAAGTAATCTAATCTCGGTAAATAAAAAGATATACATATAGAATTTTTTAATAAACGCAAGCAAATTAAATTATAAAAAATGCATACGGAGGAAAAATGATATATATTAAATTTTTACTTAAATCAATGTTTTTTTTTCTATAGCTTTGATATGTTTTGATGAACAGATGTAAGATTATTTGCATATTAAGATAATAAATAAATAAATCAATAACATAATCTATATATAATAACAAAAAAAATGTTTTGAAATATAATTTTAAATATTACAATTTGG